CCTACGCTCTGCCAGAGACCTACGTATAACCTCTTTTGGTACTGGTACCATTTACCCTTTGTTGTTCTCTCAATCAGGGATAAGGATACCTATACCGTATATATTACATTTGGACATTATAACAACGCATTTATGTTTTTATAATTATATCGATACCCAAGATTATATCACATTTTTATTTGATAATCATCCAATCTATTAATTAGCTCCTGGATACTCTGCACTGTTTTATATTGTGCAACACATAATTTCTACGTATAACCTGTTCATACTCCTCCCTCTGATGCTCACCTTAAAGACTCTAGGGCTGCACTGTTCCTATGGAACACCCTTCCCCTCTCTGCTAGACTTTTCACCCAATCTTCACTCCTTCAAAAAATCTTTGAAAACAGCGCGTGGTCTGGCAGACAACTTGAATGACAACATAATTTGAGAGCTCCCGCGCATCCACCAGCAATCCCTCACCTTTAACCAGCATCGCAACTCACAACCCCGGTGACTACACACCTAGATGTCCTACCTAGGCTCTGGGGTTAAATCACACAAAAGGCAAGGAGAGAGACACAGTGGCTGACATGTACGTGGCCTCACGCCCCTCACAGGCCGCACAAGGTGGCCACCGGGTGGGCTCACATGGCTCCCAGTCTCCGGCCTCCAATGCAGACAGTGAGCCAGCAGACTCACAACCAGGCAACACTACACAAAACTGTCTGAGGTTCGCTCATTCCTCGCAGGTGAAATTGGCCGAAACACACAGAAGGATAAAGCCCGAAATCCAGGCCCTGGGGGCATGCACATCAGACCTTGAACAACGGGTTGAATCAGTGGTCCAGGCACACAACTCGGTGGTACAGCACTTCACCTCTATGAAACAACATCTTAATAGCCTGGAGATGATGGTGGAGGACCTCTCCAATCACTCCAGGCAAAATAACTTGCACATAAGGGGTCTGCCAGAGACACTTAACGAGGGTCAACTGATACGGAAAATGGAGGACTACTTCCAGCACCTACTGCCTGACATCCTGAAAGAGAGGTGGGCGATTGATAGAGCGCATAGAGCCCTAAGGGCCCAAAGAACGGAGGGGCAGGTGGCAAGTGGCATAATAATCCTCTTCCACTACTATGCTGCAACGGCACCCCCAGGCATAAAAGGGGTTAAAAGCTGTTTAGAGGATATTCCCTTCCAGATACACAAGCAGCTACTGAAGACACCAACCTCATGAACAGGAAAACATACGAATTGTCCAAACAGCCGAACTGGAACCATACAAATTCTGCAAACAGGCGAACAGGAAAAACCATACGAACAGTTTACACTCCTGACAATCGGTCTGAAGCAGCATACAATAAATCCCCCCAAGAATGAGACAAGGCTCCGTGTTGTGGGTCAAGCAGTGGTCTGGTTTAATGAGGGCTACCTGTACCTGGTGGATACTCCCCTAGGGGACCAGATGGAAGACTGTGACCAAAAAGATACAGTAGCCAATCACTTACATACACAGTCAAACACTCCCACAATGACATCACTATCCCTCCTCTCTATCCTGGAGATAATTGGGAAGTAATCCAATTATCTCCAAGGACAGAGGCAAAACTCCATTAAGCACTTGGCAGTAAAAAGACAGTAAAATACATAAAAATACATAATATAAAACTACTGAATGAAATATGCGTGTTCAACCTATCCCCAGATAGCTTAAATCTGAGTGCACATTATTACTGAATGGCACTCAGATCACATACATACAGTTCAATCGCAATGTAGTCATGAATAGGCTCCATGGTATGGCTATCTGGGGTAATGCTGTTCATACGGTTAAACTACCGAACGAACAGGCATTCGGTGAAATGACCGAATGCAGAAGCAAGGAGGCTGACGGCTCAGCGGTGTTTGCGCAAATAAGTGTCCATTTCCATTTCCATAGTTTGGGTGCTGAACAGCGCTGGCCATTTGGGACTTTAAAATGGCCACCGCCACGGGTGAGCTACACGAACAGCGACCTCCCAGCGTTCACCAATTAAGCTGCGGTTAACCGCAGCTTCTGGGAGGTCAATTGATGGCACACTCTAGTTCCCAGGTGGTTGATCGTTCGGTAGTTTGTTCGGTAGATTCAATCTACTGAACGCCCAGGCAGAAAGGCACCAACAAGCCTTTCTGCAGGGGAAATCAAGTGTTTTAACATGGGTCCATAGTCTAAAGGGAGCAGGCGCGCAACCAGGCTTCTCCAATGCCCAGTAGCAAGGTTGGTTTCGCCACATATGCCATGAAGGAAGCCATTTTAAAATACAACAGAAGCCATGAGCTCACCTATCAAGGCACTGCCCTCTCCCTATTCCAGGATTTCTCTACGGGCACGCTCCAAAGACGACTTGACTGGAAACTATTGGCAGATCTGCTTAGAACGCACAAGATTCACTTCACCTGGGGGCATCCTTTCAAGGCTTTCAAAGCAGAACCTACACCTGCTTACCAGGCAATGATCCAGCGAAGTTCCTCCATGACCTCTCCATAACTCCTCCATCGGATTTCACCTTGTCTTGACCGGCACACTCCGGGCCTCATGGCGCTCCAGAGGGACTGGTATGAAACCAGGACAGCAGCAGGCCACGATGCTTAAAATGGCGGCCAATACAGCTACACTGAACCAGTGACCCACGAGAGACTTTGGCACAGTAATACCAGCAATGACAGAGGTAGCTAAGTCTCCCTGGGGGGGCGGTGTCATGGGAACCCGTGGCGGGGGGCTGGGCAGTGGGGGGCTCTGGGCCGTGCACTAGCAGACACTCAGTATAAAGACTCATAAGCCACCTTATGGGGTAATGCATAACATTGTATACAAAGTTCACAATTTAGATGTACATAAGTTGAAAGAAGTTAAAATATGCAATGAATTGGGGTATATATAGGATGGGGGAAGTTGGGTTAGTGGGACCCCTCCACGACTCAAGCTACCCGACCTGTCCCAGAGGGGACCCGGTAACACACTAATAGGATTACGGGGATGGTACATAGGCTTATGTTACCAGTAATCGCTTCCAAATGCAAAATAACTCCCAAGGCCCTAATCCCCCTGGTCCTGGTATGCCAATCTTCTTTCCCAGGACCCCCTCTGCACCACAGGAGGGTGCCCATGTAAGGATGGACACCCCACTCTCTGACTTCCAATCGAGGGACCTATTCCTCCAATGGCACACAACACACTGTATCCAAGTGCCTATCTAACATGGTTTAAATAAAAATCAATCCAAAAATAAATAAATAAAATAAAAAATACAAAAAAACTAAACAAAAAAACCCATTAACCCCTTAAGGACGGAGCCAAATGTACACGTTGTGAACGAAACAAAATGTAAACAAAACCTGGCATTTGCGCAACATGTCTGTCCAACCGTAATTCACCTCTTTCATATTAAATGCACCCATCCTTATTATATATCATTTTATTCAGGGGAAACAGGGCTTTCATTTAATATCAAATATTTAGCTATGAAACATAATTTAATATGAAAGAAATGGGAGAAAATAAGATTTTTTTTATTTTTTTTAGTTCTACATGACATTTTAACTGTCAATGTCATAATACTGTTTGCTTTTACTGCAATAAAATACACATATTTGTATTCAGCAAAGCCTCACGTGTAAAACAGTACCCCCTATGTACAGGTTTTTTGGCGTTTTGGGAAGTTACAGGGTCAAATATAGCATGTTACATTTGAAATTGAAATTCGCCAAATTGGTTACGTTGCCTTTGGGACTTTATGGTAGTCCAGGAATGAAATTTACACCCATAATGGCATACCATTTGCAATAGTAGACAACCCAAGGTATTGCAAATGGGGTATGTCCAGTCTTTTTTAGTAGCCATTTGGTCACAAACACTGGCCAAAGTTAGCGTTAGTATTTGTTTGTGTGAAAAATGAAAAAACGCCAATTTTGGCCAGTGTTTGTGACTAAGTGGCTACTAAAAAAGACTGGACATACCCCGTTTGCAATATCTTGGGTTGTCTACTATTGCAAATGGTATGCCATCATAGGGGTAACTTTCATTCTTGGGCTACCATAGGGTCTCAAAGGCAACGTAACCAATCTGGCAATTTTAATGTGAAAAAAATGAAACGCAAGCCTTATATTTGACGCTGTAACTTTTGAAAACACCATAAAACCTGTACATGAGGGGTACTGTTGTACTCGGGAGACTTCGCTGAACACAAATATTTGTGTTTCAAAACAGCAAAAAGTATCACAGCAATAATATCGTCCGTGTAAGTGCTGTTTGTGCATGAAAAAGGCAAAAAAAGTCACTTTTACTGGTGATATCATCGTTGTAATACACTTTACTATTTTGAAACACTAATATTTGTGTTCAGCGAAGTCTCCCGAGTATAACAGTACCCCCCATGTACAGGTTTTATGGTGTCTTGGAAAGTTATAGGGTTAAATATAGTGCTAGCAAATTAAATTCCCTTTACTTTCGGGATGGGTTGTCAGGCAGGTCCCGCTAATTGTAATTAATTAAGATACGTAATTATGTAAAAATATTACAGAAATATATATGTAGAATTAATATATGTATATATATACGTATGTGAATCTATATGTGTATATATATAATTTTTAAAAAATATTTTTATTTATATATAGGTATATATATAGTCAATTTCACTAAATTACTGGCTATGCCTTTTTATCTAAGAACCCCTGGATGAGGCACCTATTCGCAGGCGACATCACCTAAAAATAAATACAGAGGAATTCACATATTTGGGCATTCGCCTAACATCGATCCCCAAATCTCTGTTCACCTGTAACTAAATCCCCCTATTCCAAACCCTCACCAGAGAGTTAGATCAGTGGACAGACAGACCTATATACTGGTTGGGGCACATACATTCAATTAAAATGAACATCCTACCGTGATTATATTTTCTATTCCAATCACTACCGGTGAGAATTACCAAAAGTGACCTAGTAGGCATATAAAGGGCAATAGATACATTCATATGGTAAAATAAATGTCCAAGTTTGGAACACAGCCTCTTGTATCACTCAAAGCCGAGAGGGGACTTGGGACTGCCCCACCTTTAAAAATATTACCTCGTGGCACAACTAACCCAGATTATACAGTGGCACACACCCCCCGACAAGAGACGCTGGGTAGATCTCAAATCTCTGATGACAGGGATGGATCATCCCCAGTTTTACATATAGCTATCCTGAGAACCACAAATCCAGCTATCCTCAACTCCATACCAATATGGGACCAAAGAAATACTCTCTGAGTACCCTCCCGTCCCCAATGACTCCAGTATTTAGGAACAGGGCTTTCCCACCAGGGATGAGGGCTAGAGATTATGGGGGGATAGAGACTATGGGGTTACAAAGATATGTTCACCTATATGTCAATCAAGAAATAGTCACATATGAACATCTGAACACCCTTGCCACACTCAAAACGCACAATTACTTTAGACATTTACAAATTCGGGACTTTGCACAGAGCGCTGAAGTTAAGCAAGATATCTGGGAAGCGTGCACAAAAATTCCACATTGCCAAATATATAGTTGGTAGACGCACAGAGACTAAGAGGGTTATTGCCTGGTAATCCTTGGGGATACATCTAATGAGAGGCCTGCTCATTTCACCATATGCAGCTCTACTTCTACTATTTCTTGTTCTACAAATATATTTATTTAAAAAATATTTTACCAAGAAGGATACATTGAGATTTCTCTTGCTCTCAAGTATGTCCTGGGTCTACAAAATATTGCACCTTTTTTTATTTTTGTTGATTTGTTTGTTTTACAATCAAGACTATTTATTTAATTATAAAATATATTATCAGGAAGGATAAAATGAGATTTCTCTTGTTTTCAAGTATGTCGTGGGTTTTCAAAATAATGCATTGGTTTTTTGTTTTTTACAATTAAGACTATTTATTTATAAAATATTTTACCAGGAAGGATACATTGAGGTTTCAATAAATTCAGAGTGGAATTTCATCTTGATCAGAGTGTGCTGTATGAAGCAATATGCCTTTAAGAACCTTAAAATCTTATAGTAATAACAAGAGCAGGAGATATCTACAGAGCTGTGCTGTGAACAAAAACAAAAAAAAGAAAATTTAAAAAACTGCTTATTAATACGAAAACCAGCGTCTGACTTCCATTTCCGTCTTTTTTTATTTTTTTTAATTTCTTTTCATTTTGTGTCCGCTTCACCTACTGTAAATATTTCAGGAGCAGTAGAAATTTTATAATTATCGTTTGGATCAGAATATGAAGCATTAGTGTCAGAAAATAGAATCCCAGCTACATCTCTGTATGTGCTTAGCGTAGAAAAAAGGAACAATAATAAGGATAAGGGGGGAATACCTCTCCTGCATCCTGGAATCTGTCCAAATCGATGGCTATTAGCTCATCAAGGGACTGATTTTGTACTTTTTTCCAGGCTTGATACATGAATGTTTATGAGCCACAACTGATCCGGATGCCAATTAACATTTCTCAATGTAAAGACAAGGGAAGTGAGAATGGCAGAAAATGACCTGCCAGGCTACAGGGATATGAGAGTGTACAAAAGCTTCAGTCTAATATAATTATATCCATCTAGTTTTCATCAAGCCTTCTGTTCAATAACATGCTCAGAAGAATGCTGATGCAGTGTTAATGAGGTTGGACTTATTTCCTGAGATGGTGCATTAAATGCTCTAAGTACAAACCCATCAGCTCACCGATCTGCTAGAGAATTACTGCAGATATACCAAAATACCATATCTGACACCTGTTTTGTGGAAAAGTTACTGAAACACAGCATTACTGGGCACCTGTTATTCAATACACTTGTGCTATAGCTTTTAAGAACTACCCATAATGTTGTATAGAACTGCAGCTCTGCCTGAAGGACTTATCCAATATGTCTTATATATATATATATATATATACACACACACATCATATCCTATAGAACTAGAACATATACTGATCAACCACAACATTAAAACCAATTGCTTAATATCATCTAAGTCCCACTCGTGCTGCCAAAACAGCATTGATGCATCAAGGAACAGACTCCACAAGAGTGAAAGTGTCCTGTGGAATCTGGCAGCAAATGCTTAAACTCCTACAAGTTGTGAGGTGGGGCCTCCATGGATCAGATTTGTTGTTCCAGTACATCCCAGGAATGCACGATCAGATTGCGATCTGGAGAATTTGGAGGCTAACGCAACACTTTGAACTCTTTGTTATGTTCCTCAAAGCATTCCTGAATAATGTTTGCAGTGTGGCAGGGTGTATTTTACTACTGAAAGAGTCCTCTGCCATCAGGGAACACCATTGCCATGAAGGAGTGTATGTGATCTACAACTAGCAACAGTTTGTACACTGATTGTAGTCTAGTATGATGTCACACTTCCCAGAACATCTCATGAGGCAATCTATTTCCTGTGGCCAGGGAGGGGGAAACTAGGTTATCTGGTGGTTCTAAGACACAGCAGCTTGCTGGCTTCTATAGTG